GCTGGGCCGGCTTTTATGCTGCTCCCGCAGGGGCGGCACAGCCTTGGCCCAGCACTGTCAGCTGGCGGCACCTTTGAGGAGTTGGGATTTGGGAGCATTTACCTGGAATTTGAGTGTTGTGGCATTTTGGAGACATGAGCAAAGCACTGGAGAGCTGGGGTGTAGCAGTGAGGTCACCCGATGTCCGTCATGTGCTGTGGTTTGTGGGTGTGTTGTGAGGAGGGGCCCCATTCCCTCACAACCCTGCCAGCTTGCTTTGGCTTTGGAGGTGTGCTCGGGGTGAGGAGCTGCCCCTTCCATTGCATTTGCTCCTTGCCCACCTTTCTCCCAGCTGGCTCAGCCTGTCCTTAGGTTGGGCCTTTCTCACTGGCTTTGCTCTGGGATGGGCTCGTTTACCCCCCGGGGTCACAGGGCTTGTGGTCCCCAGTGATGCATGGAAAGAAGGCTGGAAAGAGGATGTGGGGAACTCCAGGCCTTTGAGTCTGACCTGAGTGCTGGGGAAGGTTGTGGAGCAGGTCACCTTGAGTGCCATCCCACGGCAGTTGCAGGACAAGGAGGGGCTCAGGCCCAGCCAGGATGGGTTTGTGAAAGGCAGGTGCTGCTTGAGCAAGGTGAGCTCCTTGTAAGCCAAGGTGAGGCGCTGAGTGGGTGAGGTGGGGTGTGTTTTCCTTTGCACAGGGCTCCCTTTCCGTGTGCTCGTCTTGCAGCCGTGTCCTTGTGGCGGCAGCTTTGAAGGGAGAGTTGGTATTTGGGAGGTTGTGCCTGGAATGTGCTTGTGGGAGCACTTGGCAGGTGCAGACACTGCCCAGGAGAGGTGGGGTGTCCTCTGTGAGGTCACCTGATGTCACTGACGTGCTGTGGTTTTGTGGAGTTCTGGGATTCCATGTCCTGCCCTTGAGGCTTTGTCCGTCTGACCTTGGTGGAAGTTATGATGAGTTGGGCTTTGGGAGGATTGGATGGTTGGATGTGTGTCAGGGAGGGCTGAAGAAACAAAAAGGCCAAGGAAATTGGTGGTGTCATGAGTGAGGTCACCCCGTGTCCCTGGTGTGCTGTGGTTTGTGGGGACCTTGTGAAGATGAGGCCCCAAAGGCTCCCAGGCAGAGCTGCCCCCCTGGAGCCCAGGGCAGAGTTTGCAGGGGGTTTGTCAGGCGAGCAGTGAGTGTTGCTGGGCAAGGGGAAGCCATGGAGGAAGGTTTGCTGTGTCCCTGGGTGCAGCTGTGGCCTCAGGGCCTGAGGTGCTGCAGCCAGGAATGCTGAGGGAGCTGCCTGATGTGCTGGGGAGGCCACTCTCCTCCTCTTGCCATCAGCTGCTCCTGGGGCCAGTGCCTGGGAGCGCTTGCTGAGGGCTGAAAGAGAGCTCCTGGCTTGGTTTGTGGAGGAAGAGCAGCAGTGACTGCCTGGAGAACTGGCATGTGGTCAGGCTGCCCTCATTCCCAGGGTTACGGTCCCTTGGGATCTCTCACATTTCCAGAACATGATACTCTGTCATTGAAAATGTATTTCGCGACCTCATTAAGAAAAGCAATAAACAACCAACAACCTGGGCTTGGTCTCTTTTTGCCCTGGTGGGTCTTTGACATCAGTTCACTTGTTCATCATTCAGACCATAAGGTTTCCTAATTTATAAGCCAGAATTCTTAATATCTTTTTCTTGTGAGGAAAAACCTCTAATTACCAGAGGAGGCTCTATGTACTTCTCTCTCCTTGTCTGTCCTGCTCTGGGTGTTCCTGATTCATATGGAGAAGCCTCAGAGCCTGAGCAGAGCAGCTGCTGGTGGATCTGCTCCAGCTGCTTTTGTGGCTGAGCTGATGTTCTGAACCTTGCACACTGGAGGTTTGACCTACACCATTTCCATCAGGATCATGGATTAAGTGCAAGCTCTGCAAGCTGAGTGTTGTGGTTGGTTGTCGAGAGGGAAGGGATGGCAGCCAGAGGGGCCTGGTCAGGCTGGGGAGGAGGATCTGTGTGATCCTCATGGAATTCAACAGGGCCAAGAGGTCGTGGGTTGTGTCAGTCCCTAACAGGGCTCCAGGCTGGTGGTGGCTGGTTTGAGAGCAGCCCTGTGGAGAAGGCTTGGAGGGTATTGGTGGGTGAGGAAGTGACTGGGAGCCAGGAATGTGCTCTGGCAGCCCAGAAAGCCCCCGTGTGCTGGGCTCCTGGCCACAGTGTGGGCAGCAGGGAGAGGGAGGGGATTGTGCCCCTCTGCTCCTTTCTGGTGAGATTGGAGTTGTGTGTTCAACTCTGGGAGCCTGAGGACAAGGAAAGCAGGGACAAGGTTTCTGGGATGCAGTGTAGAGCCTTGGGGATGATGAAGGAGCCCCCGGTGTCCCTGGAGACTGAAGCCAGCCCACACTGGGAGATTGTGTGCGAGGTGTGGGTGGTGTGTCCAAGGCTGTGTTTGGGCAAGGGAAGAGTTTGTGTCCTATTGTGGAAGGCCCTTCTGTACCAGTCTCTGTTGATCCCTGTGAAATATTTCCTAGGAGAGAGCTGGTCCCTTTTCCACCTATCCAATGGCATCTATCACCAGAGCTCTGTGGGAAATGAAGTTCTAGGAGACTTGGAAGAAGAAAGTATGAGGAGGCATGTCATGTTTTGCTGCAGGAGAACTTTATTGAGACAAAAGAGTGAAAAGGCAGGAAAACAGTAGAAGGGAGGTGCAGTAGGGCGACCATCAGCTGAGGTACTTTTGTTGTAGCAGATTTTGCTGGAGCTCGAAGCTCCTGGCGTGAGGGGTGCTGTGGGCGGCCCTCAGCAGATGCCAGAGCATCCCAGGCCTCCCAGGCCAGAGCAGCCCAGGCCTCCCAGGCCGTAGCCAAAGCCACGGCCATAGCCGAGGCCGTAGCCAAAGCCGCCGGAGATGGGCTGTCCCTGGACGTTGAGCTCCGTGCCCAGGGCAGCCCCTGCGGTGGATCCAATGAAGGAGCTCTGGGGGAAGGAGGTCATGATGGGCCCTGGGAAGGTGACGCGGACGGGGGAGGGCTGGATGAGGACGGTGGAGTCCTGGCACTGCCTGACACAGGGCTCGTTGCAGCTGTTGGCCAGCGGGGTGGGTCCGCAGGGGCGGCAGAGGTCGTAGCAGGCCATGGGTGTGGTGTGGAGGGGCCCTGGGAGGGCAGGCAAGAGAAGAGAAGAGAATTTGAGAGCAGAGAGGGGTCTGAGGCAGCGCAGGGCGGTGGGGGTGCTCAGGGCGGTGTTGCAGGAGGGCTGGGCAGTGGGGAGGCTGGTGTGGGGCTGTGGGGAGGCGTGAGGGCTGCTGAGGCTGGGGCGGAGCGTGCTGGGAGAGAGGGGCCAGGGGGGCGGTGTGTGAGGAGCAGGAGGGGGTTGTGAGGGGCTGGAGGCTCACCTGGTTGTGGGCAGAGAAGGCAGGAGAAGGCGTCAGGAGAAGC